CCTACACTACCTCACTTTAGCCTGTTCATTATTCGGGCCTACATACTTTATAACACATATGAAAGTGTAGTTATAACAGTATATCTCAGTAAATACATACTGTATGTATTTTTAAAAACAGTACCCCTGTTGGGGCGCCTGGGTGGTTAAGTCCGTTAAGCTTCCCACTCTTGATTATCTCTCTGGTCATGATCTCAGGGTCCTGAGATGGAGCCCTGCATCAGGCTCCCAGCTCAGCAGAGGGTTGGCTTGAGATGTTCCCTTCCATCTCCTTCTGTCCCTCCCCCAACCCCTCTCTAAAATAAATTAATAAATCTTAAAAAAAAAAACACAAAAAAAACAAAAACAGTACCCCTGTGTGATAATTATTCCAGAAATTAAGTGAATTTAAGGAACAGCACAGATTACATATTATTTGCACATGCACTCCTATTCTATTTAGCTTATAACATTGCTATTTACTCAAGTATTGCTTGACTTTGTCCTTCTTTCACCACTATCATTGTTCCTAAATTCCCATAGCAGAAGAGCCGTAGAAATTCAAGATGGGAGACCCGGCAAGGATTTTACTCAGAATAACAACATGGCCAAATGATTTCGAGGCTCGGACACATTTGGCGATATGCAGTTACCTCAGATGAGAAAGCGAGCAGAACTTCCGAGTTCTATTTCTACGTATGCCACAATGTACCAACGTATCCTGGAACATTATTTTTGCTGCAGTTTCTTCACTTCCACATCTCCCCTTTCCCAAATATACAAGGCTGTCAGAAGTCTGAACCCCCTTCTAAGATTCCCTGGAGTCCAAGCGCCAAGCACAAAGCCTGGCGCAGAGAGCCGCTAGAAAACATCTGCCGAATATCTGAATGAATGAAAGCCTCCCTCACACCGCAGAGCTGCTTTCCTTACTAGCAAGTTTCCTAACTTCATGCCCGCCAGTTTCCCAGGACAAGTTTCAAAACAGAACATTTTCACTTAACTCATTATTTTAACTCGGGGTGAGTCACTGCGAAAAGAAATGTAAGCTGTTTCGTTTATGAAGCAAAGATGACACGACACGAGTGAGCATGTCCTGCGTGCCCTACTTCAAGGCTTTTAAAAGTATTAAATTGGTTACACTCATACCAAGCGCCGGAAAGAAAAAGAACCCCTGGCATCTTTAGGACGCCCCTTGGGATGCCACCCCCAAAGCACCCAAAATCAAAGAAGCCCTCTACTCCCGACGCGGTCGAAGCGGCGTGTCGCGCGGGCGCCCGGAGCGCCACCATCCCCGCCGCCCGCCCCACACGCCGCCCAAGACCACAGGGCGCACCTGGACCGCGGACAGCGGGCTCGCGAGCGTGTCCTCCGGGACGCCTGCCACTCCGGTTGTCGCCGCGGGCCCGCGTCCGCCGGGGAGCTCACGGCCGGTACTCACCCGTTGGGGATACTATTCTTCTTCACCATGACGCGAGAGGTGCGGGGCTTCCACGCGCCAGGACACCGCGCTCCCAGCTCTCTCCCTCGGGCAGCTGCGGCCACTGAGGCACACACCCAGACCGCAGGTGATCAGAGCCAGCGCTCCTGCAGGCGCTATAGGCCCAGGCCAGGGCGGGAGTGACAGGCTCCGACGCCTCAATTCTAGTCAGAAGCCCAAGCAGCGGGTGAACAGACGTAGCGCACCGAAGATTCCCGAAGGCGCACGCTCTGCGCTCTCCGGGGACCCAGCCGGCTCAGGGGCCGCACCGCGCATGCTCCCAGACGGCCTTGACGTCAATCCCCGAGGAGGGAGCGCTAGGCGGGCGGCGGGCTGTGACCGCGGTCGTGAGGATCCTTGCGGGGCGGTTAGTGACCTCTCAGAGTCCGCGGTAAATGGTGCGTCCTGCCTTAGCTGTTCATAAGTAGCAAGAGTGCCCTGTCCATCCAGGTGAATGTCATACTGCCTGTTAAAGCCCCCTGACCCTTCCCTGTCAGACACCCCGGTATCTTGGCTGGTTGGAGCCCTGCTCTGTGGACTAAAACTAGCGGCGGCCCCCTGGAACCAGACACAAACCCGCACAGGCCGCTGGGACTTGTAGTCCCCAGAACCTGGCCGACCCGTCAGTCATTCCCTTGGGAAATTAAGTGGGTTGAGAACTACTCCATTTTGCAGCATTCGAGAGTAGTGCTTGATTTGCATCAAATCCAAGACCATGTTATTTATTGAGTGCCTATTTTGTGCTGAACATCTTGCTAGGATTGGTGGAGGATAGATGAGTTTGGATCCCAGCTCTCGTCCTCTCTTTAGGGTAGGCAAAAAGATGAACTTGCAGAGTAGGATGTAATGAACAAAAATAATGCTTTTGGAGGTCACAGAAGGGCCAGAGTAAGGAAAAAAAAAAAAAATCCCGGAAGATGTGGGATTTGAATCAGGCTTTGAGACGTGGAATGCTCTAGGTTAGAGGAAAGTTGCAAAAATCCAAGGATGGATGTGGCAGGGAGTATAAAGAAGGTTGATCAGGCTATAGGCAAAGGTTTATGTTGGAGAGTAGTGAGCAGGGCTTAGGTGGGAGAGTAGACACGGCGGTCTTTTGGCCTGACTTTTCAGGAAGGGCCTCGTTTTGACTTTCTCTCCAGTTGAGACTCTTAAGTACAGGCACTGAGATATGTCAGGTTTAAATGAAAGGCAACATCACAGGACTTGCCTGTGTTGCTCTATGAATTAATACATTTTTATAAATCCTGTAATTAACTTGAGAGTGGCAAAGTTACATTACATCGTGTGTGTGTGTGTGTGTGTGTGTGTGTGTGTGTGTTAGATATAACCTTTCAAAATATACCACAGTTTTTGTAACCTGTTTTGGCATTAATCGATCTCTATGTACCTAAGCTCTCAAGGGAAGTGAACCCAAATCTTTCTTGACCTATAAGAGCAGGTTATGGTGATTTGGGGGCTTAGTCCTATGTGCAGTGGATGATTTCGTTTTGATGCCTTTTGAAGACTTATATATAAATTCACAGAAAATCCTAAGAGCAGGTTATGGTGATTTGGGGGCTTAGTCCTGTGTGCAGTGGATGATTTCGTTTTGATGCCTTTTGAAGACTTATATATAAATTCACAGAAAATCCTTTGTCAGGCCACTGTTTGTAGTTTTTTTATTTTAGTATATGTGCTGCCGAAGCGAGCACAGTAGTTTTTTTTATTTTAGAAAATAAGATTATAGTTAACTAAAAGGTATTCATTTTCAAATTTGTCAGGTAATGAAACACCTGGAAGTCATCATGCTCTCTGGAAAACATTGTGAAATAATGCTATTATATTTACCTAATTGTAGAATTTCTTTTTGTTAAATTCCACCTTTTCCATACCTTAGAACCAGTATATTTGTCATATATTTAATAAATTTTGATTTTGGCAAAATGCTATCCATTGCCTTAATTTTCTCATAACTTTGAGTGAGACTTTAAGTTTTTTGTACAACATCACAATGCAAATCAAAGAAGTGTGGAAAAGCATGACTTAAGAAACACTGCTATAAGGGAGTTCAGAAGGAACTGATCATACTGTGTGGCAATAGATGAACTAAAATAAAGTTGGATTTGGACCTGAATTCAGTTCCGCTAAGGAAGGAAGGTGGATTAATACATTTGGAAAGATTTTCAAGAGCTGGGAGAAAACGAAAAGAGAAACAAATTCCTAGTTAGTTCATAATTAACCAAAGAAATATTACTAGATATCAGAATATGCATGTTGTGACCATTCCATATGTTAGAGATTTTTCTGTAATTTTATTCTGCTAACACTCCTGAAACCAAATGGCATATGACAGAAGTAATCAAGGTAATTTAATGTTAAATTTACACACAACATAAAATTTAATTTCAGGAATCACCATAGTGATAAAGGCACAACTGGATAAATTTGCAGAACCTAGAGATTTCTAAATGCTACGCAAGAGGCAAACATTTATACACATAAACTGCCTTCTGTTTGCTGTGAATCAGAAAAGGCTGAATGAACTACTTGACTTTAATTCTCAGGTTTTGACTATGGACCTCCAGGTCATCTGATACAAAAATAGCTAATCCTCAATTTCCTTACCCTTTAGAAAGAGCTTTAACTGCAAGAATTGCAAATTAGCAATAGCCTTGAAGAGAAGATTGGGTTTAACTGTTGGATCGAGTTTTTCAATAAAGAGAGTTGAATTCTGTAAGAAGGTAAAAGTCTGAGTCACAATTTTTCCTTACTTCTGCAAGATTTTCAAAAAAGCAAATGCAATTTTCTTCCAGATCTTCAATTTTATTTATTATTTTGTTTTATTATTTTGTCTATAATCATTTATTTATCTTATATCATTTATGGAATGATAAATGAACCAGGTTAGAAACATCTCCAGATCTACAAAACAGTACCTTGTTAAAAATTTTTAAAATTTATTATAATTTAACTATCTATGGGATGTGCTGTCACTAAAGTTTCCCCTAGTGTAGCAGATAAAATTTTAGATGTACATATCAGCAAGCTAGGTATTGATTTGAAGGTTATTTTAGATGTTCTTGCAGAATGCAAAATAAATTAAAAATTCTCTTTTCCTGGCATTATATTCCTGTTGTGCCTAATTTTGGTATGTTAGTAGGAAGATCTTAAAGATATTTTAAAGAGTCTTAAATCAACTTCCTAAATGTCTGTTTACTGATTAAACAAAGAATTTAGTTAACTTAGACCTGATTTTCTTCTGTTTTCTGTTCTCTTCTATTATAGTATTTTTAATCATCTTCTGGATTTCTCACCTGAATGTCCCATAAAGATCCATTAGCAACATCCAAAAACTGAACTTATTGATCCCTACCGCAACTACATTCCTACTTTGACAATACTTGAAATGACGCTACTTCTCAGTGACTCAAACCAAAAACCTGGTTTGGTTCTTCCCTCACTTTGTCTTCTCCATGTAATTGCTCATGAAATCTTGTGATTTTTATCTTTTAAATGAAGCTCTTTCCACTCTCCATTCCCACTTCAGTTTTTGATTCAGATCTCTAGCATCTCTCTTTGGGACTATTATAATGGCCTCCTAACCAATCTTCCTGCCTCTGGTATATATCTCCATGTTTAATGAGATATTTTTTCTCACTAAAGTTTTATAGTTCTCATAGAGTTTCCACATATTTTAACTGAAGTTATTCCTAAGTATTTTGAAAATGTTTTTGTTGTATTGCTATTATGAAAGTGATCTTTCTCTATTATATTAACATATAGGGAAGCTATTAGCTTTGACATATATTCCTCTTGTATTCTGCCACCTAACTTTTTAATTGTGTCTAAACTTTTTGATTGAGTGTCTTGGCTTTTCTATGTATAAAAACCTATCCTCTACAAACAATGATAACTTTGTCTTCTCTTTTCTAATAATTATACTTCTTATTTCTTTGATGTGTCTTATTACATTAACTGGAATTTTTACTATATACTAAAGGTGATAGCGTATTTCTTTGTTTAATTTCTAGTTAAATTTAAAAAATTAAGGAGCATACCTTTAAGTATAACACCATACTTTCAGTAATATATCATCCTTAAGACTATTTCTTATTTATTTAGGAAGTAGAAATGAAAGAACCATCATGAAAAAGATCTCAAAGAGAAAAGAAGATATGAAAAAAAAGGTAAGGTATTAATGGAGATTATAAGGATCTTGATTATACTAATAGCCCAATTATAAATATAGGATAGTCCTGAACAATGTGATATATTTGGTTCTATATTCATATCACATAGTTCGCATGTTAAAAAAAATAATAAGCTTAAGAATGAATTACACTCTTTGGTGTGTTAGTTATGCCATAGTATTAGAGGTGAGTTATTTATTTATTCCCTTATATAAATATTAATTCATTTACCTGTTCTCTCAGCCAGCGGTCCATTTTCTGCTTTGCTCCAAAAAAAAAAAAAGTTTTTCTTTTTTTTAGTGAATAAATAAAACATATATAGGACCAATATCTACAGGTCTTTTAGAGTAACTCTAGTTAATATTCATATTTTATCCCTTCTAGAGGGATGGGAAGTTATGAAGAAGTGTGCAGAATCCTGGGAATGCTGGTTGAGATTATTGGAAACTAAAGGGAGACCTCTATCAATCACTTACTGTCCCTTGGTCCAGAATAGAATTAGGTATTTTTAATTGTGTTGAGGAAGATGCTGAACATCTTAGTTTATGTTCTTAATAGTTCTTAAGTGTGATAGAGTAAGCACTGGTGGATTTTGAAGTTCTTTCAGGAAATCTGTAGACGAGACTCTTATTGTGATAATGTCTTTTACTTTAGTTGTTAGTTAAGGAGTCTTTTGCTATTGTATTTAAACTTAAAATGAAAAACAAACTCATAATCTATATTGTTCCAAAAACAGACTTGACATTGCTAGTATGGTTTAATTTCAGAATACTGAAGCTTAAAAAACTTAAAAGGAAGTTTGAACATATCGAGTTTTTTTATAATGGTAGGATATTCAATTAGAAATACCAATAGGCAACTAGAAATATGGTATTCAGGATAGCAGTCAAGGTTGGAAGCCTTGGAAGCAAGATTTGGGAAGCCCTGGGAATACATCCACTCTCCAAAGCCTTGGAATGTGCCTGCATGTAAGCTATGAAGAGAAGTGTGACCATTGAAGAACACAGGGAATAAGTGGCCAGAGAAGTAGAAGAGCAGAGAGCAATGATATAGAAAGTTTTCAGAAAATAAAGGTACCCAACATTATCAGATGCTACGGAGTAATCAAGTAGTAGCTAACATGGATAGAGTGTTGAGCTTCAAAGTATTTTCATATGTCTGGTCTTATTTGGCCCTCCTAAAAGATGTGTAAAGTTGACAGTATACCAACACTAACAACTAACCATTGGATTTTATCATTAAAAGGTCCTTTTTGATATTACAGAGAGAAATTTCTTAATTTAAAAATTCACTGTATTTAAGGAGTTTATACCAATTGATAAAAAGATGAAACTTAGGAAAACAGGCAAAGGACATGAATTGGCATTTTAAAGGTGATGACTTTCAAAGGGCTGATGAACATATGAAAAGATGTTCAATGCCAAAACAAAAAGATATAAGGTAACCTGCTCCCCACAACTTTTTTGCAGATGTCAGAAGATAACAGTGCAGAAGAAAATGTAAACAAGCATCTCCAAAAAGGTTCTCAATAAGTATACCACAACTCTGATACTGCTGGTTTCTATTTTTTAAAGATATAAATGACTAATCCTATCCTAGGGTTTCAACTGGGAACACAAGTTTCTTAAGAAATGAGTTCAAACAGAAACTAAACTTCCTAGATGATATAAGATGGGCATAAGAAAATACATAGTAAAGTCAACACATGTAATAAAACCAAATTTTGTTTTCTCTCCCTTTCTACAAACATGAAGAAGCCACTAGTGCTTGAGACTGTGTTAGTCCACAAACAAGCATAGATACGGAACCTGCTTCAGGAAGCTCCAGATCTCAGGGAGAAATATATATAAATATGGTTGAAACCTGGTTCATTCATCCACCAAATATTTATTGAGACCCGACTTTGTGGCATCTGCCATTCTAAATTCTGGGAGTAGAGTATAAACAAACCAACTAGTAATTTTTAAACTTACCAAGGAATACTGCAATTAAGAATGAAGATTCTTGGGGCGCCTGGGTGGCTCAGTTGGTTAAGCATCTGCCTTCGGCTCAGGTCATGATCCCGGGGTTCCGGGATCGAACCCCTCATCAGGCTCCCTGCTCAGCGGGGAGCCCGCTTCTCCCTCTGCCCTTCACCCCGTTCATGCTCTCGCTGTCTCTCAAATAAATAAAATATTAAAAAAAAAAGAATGAAGATTCTCATTACCTGTAGTGATATAGTTTTATATTTACCCTTTATTTCCATTAGCCTCTATACAACCTTTGAGTACTCAAAGAAGAAAAAGAAAAATGCAAGGCAGAATAACCAATAGGCCCTCCATTTTCTACTGTACATAGGACTGCACAACCCCTGTCTTTCTCAGTCCATCTGGTGGATTGTCTGGTGGATGAGCAGAAAATAGCACATAACTTGGAGTGTACACACTACCTGGAACCTTGTTTATGCTCTATGTTTCATATCCTTTAAGAGCTGGCAAAAGTAGGGGTTGGCAGTATTGTACTGATTTTTCAGAACTGACATAAGTACTTCTCTCTATTCCTTTCTCTCCAGTTTAATCAGATTGAAGTAACCTGGCTTTGTTATTTGTATACTCTGCAGAACAATCTACATAGAATATGACTGTTCAGATGCTTATCTGAGCTTGCTTTTTTCTTTTTTTTTTTGACTGACTGTAAAGGACTGTCTCCAATAGCTGAGGATAGAGAAGGTAGGGGAAAAAGTCACAAAAAGAAGCAAGTTTCAGTCCTATTTAGTCCAGATTGGAAAAGAGGGAAGGGACAACAGCCACTGGTCTTAAGTTCTAAGCTCACATGGGGCAATGACCCAGCCTTCATAATTGTCATGATCTTTAGAAATCCATGCAGTTTAGCTATTTAAGCACTTTTGCCGCTATTGCTATTTTATTATAAGAAAGTGTCATGAACTCTGTACTATGTTGACTTCTTGATAGATTTAGATGCAGAAGAAAATCAAAATGTAATAGGAACGTTGAGAGGCAAAGTAAGAGAGAAGCTAAAAAATGCTAAGGTAATGCTTCTTTTTTCTTTCCTGTTTTCATATTTACTGTTTACTGCAATATGTATGATAATAAACTTTTCTTTGTCAAAAAAGAGTGAAAATTCAGCCTTAACGTAGCTCCTTAAGTCCCAAAAGCTTCAAGTTCTTTTCCATACTTTTTTTTCCAAACCTAAAGCCAAGAAAAGTTGAGTTGGTCATGGTAACTATATGACATCTCAAGGGAAAACATGTATATAACTAGTTAAAAGAAAGGCATTGAGAAATCTTGATTTTTATCCATTTTGAATAAAAGACTTATGAGCACAAATATGTCTATATTTGTGAAGATTAAATTTTCCATACCATTTACTTATGTTGTGTTTCAGATTAATCAAGGTGAAAAATCCTCACCTCAGCTACTCATTGATGAGAAGATATATCAGTGGCCTAAGGTAAATAATTTTTTATATTTTTTAGAACAGTTTTATTGAGGTATACTTTATATAGCAGAATATCACTCATTTTAAGTGTATGATTTAATGATTTTTAGTAAACTTACAGAATGATGCAGTCAACACTATAATCCATTATTGTCACTCCACAAAGATCCCTCATACCGATTTGCAGCATTCTCCATTCGTAGCTGACATTATTTTTATCCTAAAAAATTATAATAAAATATTATAGGTGATCCCCGACTTACAGATTTTGTTTTACAACTCAATGTGTAATCACATTTTGAAACTTGAAATGACAAAACAACTCTGTTTTGGGAAACTATCTTATTTAGGGTAAAGGTTGCTGAGCAGCTTTAGCCAAAAGATTCCAAGTAAAATGTCTTAATTAGGATCGAAGTTTCATTTCTCTCTAGTTGTAAAAGGTAAGTAGTCTAAACTGCTAGGAGTGTTCTGCCATCTTCAGCAGATGGTTTCTATCTCAGAGTCCAGTGGGAAAGCTTCAGTGCCTTTATTTGCTGGCCACAGGGAAAGAAGGAAAGAGCCAGAGCATTGCAGATTGATCTCTTACAGGACAAGACCTGCAAGCTGCACACATTACTTCCCTTAAAGGAATGTGGGGAAAATATTTAGGTCCCCCACTAAAAGTAGATTCTGTTATTAGAGATGGGGGAAAGACAATAATGGACAATTAGTCATTTCTTCCATAAGCAACGAGACTAACTCTACAAAGTTTTTTTTTTTTAAAGATTTTATTTATTTATTTGACAGAGAGAGACAGCGAGAGAGGGAACACAAGCAGGGGGAGTGGGAGAGGGAGAAGCAGGCCTCCCGCAGAGCAGGGAGCCCAATACGGGGCTCGATCCCAGGACCCTGGGATCATGACCTGAGCTGAAGGCAGACGCTTAACGACTGAGCCACCCAGGCGCCCCTTAACTCTACAAATTTTAAAATGCAAGGAATTTTTTAAAAATCATCTTTGTCTCCCCCACAATGCTCTTCTTGGGTGCTTAGTAAGAATTAAATTTAAAAATAAAAGCAGACTAAAAATAAAAGCAGACTAAAAAAAAAAAAAATGTGTATCCGTGCTATTCATTCAACAAATAGAAGTGTGCCTAATTTGGATTTATGTAACTGTGAATAATAAAAAATTGGAAGCTGGGCGCCTGGGTGGCTCAGATGGTTAAGCGTCTGCCTTCGGCTCAGGTCATGATCCCAGGGTCCTGGGATCGAGTCCCACATCGGGCTCCCGGCTCAGTGGGGAGCCTGCTTCTCCCTCTGACCCTCGCCCCTCTCATGCTGTTTCTCTCTCGCTTGCTCTCTAAAAAATAAATAAAATCTTTAAAATAAAAAAATAAAAAAATAAAAAATTGGAAGCTTGTCAAAGTTGGTCCAGGAGTGTCAAGAAAAGAGGTGAAAAAGAAGAGATATTGGCTTCTAAGACTCCCCATACCAACTGCTAGATAAGAGTATCTGCTTAGCAAGTGGTTTTGTGATGAGCAGAGATAAAGGGAAGTAAAGTATATACTGACAATTTTGATATGCAGCGTTGTTGCAGGGTGAAAAACTTTTAAAGTTAATGTGACAGCTAAATTGTAGATACAAACAGGATATAAGATAAGCTTTGTATTTTATATATTTTTAAATTCTTTGACTTCTAGTAACTATGAGTTTTACTTTTTATTATAGAATTAATTCCTTCCCAAATCTCCCTAAAAACAGTTCATTTTTAATATGTGTGTGAGAAAGAAGTGGTAAGTGATTTACATTTAAAAGATTCAGACTTGATAGTACTGAAAAATGAAAGCTTATTTATCAGCAAATTTATAACTAAGGATATGCTCCTTTTAATACCTCTTTTTTTTTTTTTAAAGATTTTATTTATTTATTTGACAGAGAGACACACAGCAAGAGAGGGAACACAAGCAGGGGGAGTGGGAGAGGGAGAAGCAGGCTTCCCCCTGAGCAGGGAGCCTGATGCGGGGCTCGATCCCAGGACCCTGGGATCATGACCCGAGTGGAAGGCAGACGCTTAACCGACTGAGCCAGCCAGGCCCCCTCCTGCTTTTAATACTTTTAACTGTCTATAACCACAAAAGAATGTAGGTGGACTGGGTGGTACTTGTGTGTGAGCGCACACATCCATGAGAGCATCCAAAAACAGGGAGAGAAAAGAAAGATTTGCCCTGAGCCCCCATTTTGATCGCACTGTAAAGTAATACTCTTAGTACTCTAGCTAGAGTGAAGAGAGAGTTTGGGAGGCAGAGCATTTGGGCTTTACTTTATTCTGTTTCTTATTGTAGTTACCAGAACCTTCAAAACAAAACCCAAAAAACGTAATGAACCGAACAGACTCTTGCTGCTCCTTGCTCATGAATAAGATGACAGTTACTGTTTACCATATTACAGAAAAGTATTTCTTCCACTGATAAGCAGAAAAAATACTCTTTTCCACCCTAAATACTGGTCTACTGTTGTTTACTCCACAGATCGATGTCTCCCTGGATGAAGGTCTTTGGTTTTTCATGCCAAGTGGTGAGGAAGCCTCAGCTGTGGGCTGGTGTTCAGAGCAGGTCAGATCTGTTCCCTTCCTCTCATGTCCCAGGCAAATTAGCTCTTTATTAAAGGCATAGAATGAAATACTTGGATGGGAGATGAAATTTTTATTATTGAGCCACCCTCTTCTCTTTGAATTAAGAATCTGTTCAAAATGATAATTCCAAACATTTATTGAGTACTTACTGGATGCCCAATGTTGTACTAAATTTTTAATACGGGTTACATCATTCAATCCTTATAGTAATCGCATGAGGCAGGTGTTACTATAATGTCTACTTTAAACGTGAGGAAGCTCAGGGATAGAGGGTGAAACATCAGTAGAGCTGGAAGCATTGGCTGTCAGCTCCAAAGCCTGTATCTTCTTTTTCTTTTGTTGTTCCTGTCCTTCTCTCCAAGTGCCTCCCCCCACCCCGCCCCGTTCTCTGTAATCTCCATTACTCTCCATAGATGCCTCATTCTTCATCCCTCCCAGTCTGATCCCAGACCCTTCTAATTTCTAGCAGTTCTTCCCCATGCCTCCCAAACTCCTCGGCCCCCTGTTATTCCCTGGTGGTCCTCTCCTCCCATACCAGTCGGTCTCATGGGTCTTTTCCATGACTGTCCATCCCTCTGGTCTCCCCGTCTGCTCCTGTTCCTCTACAGTTTCTCCAGGTCCTCTCTGCCTTAAGTCTCTGCACGGTTTCCTTGGTCCCCTCCCCCAGTACTACTATCCCCTGGAGTTCTACCCAGTATCTTCTGACGCAGCTTAGCCTTGCCTAATCCCTCAGGCCTCCTGAGTCCCTCTTGGACACCCAATTTACTTTCCAGTCCTTTCCATCCCCCTTTCTTTGCAACCTGCCCAGTCCTTTCATTCCTTCTTTGTTATTGTTGGTTTTTCTATGATAAAAAGAGCTTTATCTTTTAAAAGTTTAAGGTAAGTATATACATTATTTCTTAAAATGCAGAAAACCATGTGAAGAACCTAAAAATCACATGAAATCCCACTGCTCTGAGATAAACCACTATCATTTTTCACACATTTCTCAGTGCTTATGCCCAGACTTGCACATACATGGACTTTTATATGAATAGAATCATATTTGTAAATGGCAATTCCAGTTTTCCAGTTGCTCAGCCAAACCCTCATGTCATCCTTGGATCCTCTTTTACTAACAGACCTCATATATAATTCATCACAAATCCTGTTGGTTCTACCTTCAAAGTATTCCAGAATCTGACCCACTTTTCACTACTTCCACTGGTATAATCCTAGTCTAAGCCACCATAACCTCTCATCTGGATCATTGCCAGTGTCTCCCTCTGTTTTCACTAGTGCCCCAGCAGTCTCTTTTCTATATCATACAGTGGCCAGAGTGCTCCTGTTAAAATCTAAGACAGATCATTCTTTTGCTTACACCTTTTAATAGTTTTCTATCTCACTTAATATAAAAGCTAACGTCCTCCAAAGCCTATGTGACCTGACCCCCTTGGTACCTCTCCGACCTCATTTCTTACCACTTTGCCCTTCTCCCACCAAACTCCAGCCAGATTGGCCTCCTTCCTATTCCTCACAATATGCAAGGGACTTTGCACCTTTTGTTTGTCTAAAAAGCTCTTCCCTTATCCTCATGCTCTCTCTCTCTCTCACTACCTTTGGGTCTCTGTTCAAATGACACATCATTTAAGATACTGTATCTGACAACCCTATCTACAATAGTACCCCCCCCCCCCCACCTAGCCTGGTATTCTCTATCCTTTTGTGTTTTTTTTTTTTTTTCCTTCAACACACTTACCACCACCGAGCATATATTTCTATATCTTTTTGTTTATTTTCTTCCTGAAGCATATTAGGCACTCAATGAATATTCCAATGAATATTGAATAAATGAGTTTCAAACATGTGCATGCTCTGCCAAGTCATCTGACCTCCTGGAGTCTCACAGTATGGGTTAAGGAATGAGCTTTTCTGGGAAAACGAGAAGATCCACCCAGTGGATACCAGGGTCAGTGGTTTTTATTATCGTGGTTTTGGCTGCTTTTCCTTCCCAGAGGGCAGGCATGAGAGAAATTAGATCAGTGAGGCAAATTGGCTATTTGGGCTTTGGTAAGTCAGGTTTAGATGTGGGTTGTTTAGAGGCTTTGTCTTAAAAAGCCATTGCCCTGTACCTGGTGACTTTGAGGTCCATAGGAAACTATTGTCCTCATCACAGGAGAAAACCACTATTTGTGAGGCTGAGTTTCTTCCTGCTGGGAGAAAGGGGAGTCCTGGTCCCAAATATGTTGTCTGAGCAGCCCAGAGTGAGGTCCAAGGTTATTTTCTGACAGTTCTACTTATACCACAATTAGCAAGGTGTGTTCCTGTGACATGGAGGGGGTGGGGGGTAATATCTCTTTTTTACCACACCATGCTCAGGTGTATCTATCTCGAGTTATGAATGGAAAGTTAGATGGATGCCTTCTGGCCTCATACTACCTGTCACACAACACCTAATAGCACAGACACTGCTTTGCTGTGAGCTGCATAGTAAAGACCAGGAAGGTGATCTGGGAGAGCAGCTAGCCTTAGATTAAATGAGGAATAGTCGGTCAGATGGGGCTTATATTGGTTGAAATCACAGTTTGTCTCAGGCTAAAAATATAGGCCAATTGAATAGAGTAAGGTTTATACAAGTGACTTGTTTGGTCACAAATAAAAGGCTGGGATCCAAGATGAGGGCTGACCTACTCAGCCGTCAGGACAAACCTTAGCTCTGAAGGCCTGTTGTAAGCCCTGGTCCACACCAGGGGTATTATGAGGGATGCCTGATAATGGGAGCTCAAGCCCCTTTTTGTAGGTGATTGGAATATTCAGAGATCCTCTGTGTAAAGATCCCCCAAATCTTGCTTCTAGATGTCAGTGTCATACCTGGTTTGAATTCTGGAAAAATGTCACAAAGGTTTTTGGATATAAAATACTTTCTTGATTTCATGATGGGGATAAGAGAGAGGGTGCGATGTTGTGATGACTTGTATGAACCTAAGTGTTGATTAACTATGTTAATTTCTTAATTTTGTCAGAGCTGGTCAAAGCCATGTAATTGGCTATTACAAGGAATATTCAAAGGAATTCTGTGATTATTTTTTAATTTAATTATTTATCCACAAATGTATGTTTTGGAAAATTGAGGGATTTTATTTGCATGACACACACACTTTCTTTCTCCTTCTGTTTTTCAATATATATAGATTTCAAATTAGATAAGTAAAGTCAATCAAGAATAAATTGCTGAGGGGCGCCTGGGTGGCTCAGTCGTTAAGCGTCTGCCTTCGGCTCAGGTTGTGATCCCAGGGTCCTGGGATCAAGCCCCGCATCGGGCTCCCTGCTCAGTGGGAAGCCTGCTTCTCCCTCTTCCACTCCCCCTGCTTGTGTTCCCTCTCTTGCTGTGTGTCTCTCTGTCAAATAAATAAATAAAATCTTAAAAAAAAAAAAAATAAATTGGTGATTTTTTTGTGTGTGAAGAGACTCATATAGAATTTCTGATCCTGATATAAAAGTATCCATTTTTATATTTAGTAATACATGTGTTTTGATACCTATATTCAGATTGTTTATAGTTTTTATAGTATCTATCATATTTCAGAATTTCACTATAATCACTCTGCCATAGACTTCTATGTTGAATCTTTTTTGTTTTTTTTCTTTTAAATACCATCCAGAGGGTGCCTGGGTGGCTCAGCTGGTTAAGGGACTGCCTTCGGCTCAGGTCATGATCCTGGAGTCCCGGGATCGAGTCCCACATTGGGCTCCCTGCTCATCGGGGGGTCTGCTTCTCCCTCTGACCCTCTTCCCTCTCGTGCTCTCTGTCTCTCATTCTCTCTCTCTCAAATAAATAAATAAAATCTTTAAAATAAATAAATAAATACATACATACATACATACCATCCAGAAACCAGCATGACTGCTCCATATAATTTTAGGTAATACTGCTTTCTGAATGGTGAAAAAAAAAATGCAGTTTAAGACTGCATGGGCTGATGTCTCTGGGCTTTGCTTTACACTGTGAATTCTCAGTGGTTGAAATGCCATAGTCCAATATCTCAGGTCATTTTCCATGGGAGAGGAGGGACTTGAACTGTAGTTCTATTTCAGTTAGTCCTTTATTGTGAATTGCAAAGAAAGGTTATAGAAAAATCATACTGTATACTATTAAGCCTTAAATGAGTTCTTCTTATGTTCAATGAAATTTTATTATAACAGTTTCAGCTTGAACTTGAACTAGGTGGCATGGCTCAGAAAGACGATTCACAGTAAGGTCCCAATACATCTCACTTATCTATATATAATCATGGGGACAACATATTTACTTATTTTTTTCTTTTTGTATTCAACAGAGATCAGTAAATGATAGTTATCCCAAACATTTTTCACTTGGTGATAATTTACAACATTTTGCTGAAGGCCAAGATGAAGATTTTATGGAGGAAATCATTTTCCCAGATTTACTTGAAGTAAAAGCTGCTGAATATGAAGATGATCAAGAACAAATAAAAAAACAACAGGCAAACATTTTTGTACCAAGTAGTTCTCCAGGTAAAATTCTTTACAACAAAATATTTAAGTCATTAATGAATCATATTATAGAATAATAGCTTCTTTGTATGTTGGATAGATAAAAAGTACTGATCTAAAATTACAGAAAGTTTTATTTGTTCTTCAAATCTTCTCTGACTTTAAGGAAACTGGTTAAAAGAAATCATTTATCATATATATATATTTAGACTTCCTACTAAACTATCATAGGGTATATGATAGTTACCTTTTTTTCCTTGTTTTGTCACTACCAGTTTAATAATTTGGACTTCAAAGTAATATCTAGGTTTTGTTGTTAAGTGGTCAACCAGTGTAAACTGCCAAAAGATATGATTCCACGCATTTTGGAAGATGAAGGATTCTATATTCAGAGAAAGCCACAAATACATAAAAAGACCTGCAACAAAATGGAAAATCGCCTGCTTACCCTAGAAGAGGCAAGTGCGCCAGCTGATAAGTTACACCACTCATTGCTTGTATGTGACATTTGTTTTTAGTGAAATATTTTATTACACTATTTCTTGAATATTTTTGATAGGGAAAGTGTTGGTTTGAAGAAAGTGGAGAAATTATGTCATTACCTTCACCCATTAGACAGTCATGGAATTTCAGGCTAACCACAAGCAAGGGATCTTTAAATCCAGCGCTAAAGACCATATACAGAAAGGTAACCAACAACAGTTTATTTGTGATTATGGTTAGAAGAATTCTTATAATATCAGGTATAACTTATGTGTTTCTGGTGTTAATTCACCCTGTAAAGATATTAGTAAATCTAGTAATGTAATGGCAAAACTATGATGAAATGTAAAATAGCCATTAAAATTATGTTTTTGAAGAATATTCAGTGATATGGGAAATACTCAAAATGCAAAGTGAAAAAGCAGAATGCAAATCATATATGATCCTAATTTTATAGAACAGATAATGAATGAATTAATCAGTGAATGAATAAATACATACATATATGGGTAGATAGATTAAAAGAGTGGGAAAATATATCAAATAATTATCTCTGGATAGTAGGACATAGGATTATTTTATTTTCTTCTTTCTTTCTCTATTTTCTAAATTTCAAAAATGAATGTATGTTATACTCATAATCAAGAAACAAAGTTTATATGTATTCTAAGACATTATGAAAATTAACAGTCCATTAACCTAATGAGAAGAAATATTTAGACAGAAATAGTTATATTTAAAAATTGGCTTGAAAAATTTAAATCAGAACTATGTACAAAAACTCAATTGTCCATTCATTTGCCTTAACCATTCCATACATAAGAAATATGGCTGTAAGTAGATATAAAGTGGAAAAATACCTACTAAAAATACTTATAGGATGTTATTCTTTATTCACTCTGTTGGTTTGAACCTGTGAGTTACTTCTGCTCTCCCCAGTAATTATATGCCTTCCATCTGTTTATAATTGTTACTGTTCTTTATAATTGTTACTGTTAGTTCTTGCATATTCCAATAGCAGGGACATATTAATAGCAAGGGCACTTAGGTTGATACTTCTCAGCCTGAGGAAATGAGGGCTCTCCCTCAACTGAAGAGATTAATAGTTTTAGGAGTCTCCTTGTCTTTCTTTAACAGGTAAGGATCTTCTTTATATATGATATATGCTCTTTTCTTCCCTAGTTTCTATTTCTTTCCCAGAGAATTCAGGAAATCAAAAATTTTTTTCTTATATTGTGATATGTTTTTCATATCTTTATACTGCTTATAAATTGTTCTGAGGACCTTCTAAAAATAAACCAACACTTTGTGCTGCTAAGAAAACCTTTTGTCATTTTACTATATAAAATGCATTTAAGCTTTAATTAATTTTCCCACTTTTATAAATTACAGACATATACAATTGTCTACCAGAACTTCTGATCATTTGATGAGCAGAATTCTACCCAACCAGAAGCAAAGAAACTCAATGATGAGGATGTATAATTAGGTCCTTGGTCTTTTTATGTTCTTTTTCTTCATACTCTTTGCCTGATAATCCCAACTTCCATGGCTGCTACTACCATGTACTTGCTGGTGACTCCCAAACATGTATCTTTCCCAGATCTCTGTCCTGATCCTCAATTGCATATACAGAATTGCTTTTAGAAAGCTCAAGCTGGTGTCTTTTTTTAAAGATTTATTTATTTTAGAGGGGGGAGGGGCAGCAGGAGAGAGAGAGAGAGAATCTCCAGCAGACTCCCCACTGTGTGCAGAGCCTGATGTGGGGCTCTGTTCTTACGACCCTGAGATCATGAGCTGAGCCAAAACCAAGAGTTGGATGCTCAACCGACTGAGCCACTCAGGGGCCCCTTAATCTGGTGTCTTAAGATCAGTACACCTAAAAGAGAATTGCCATTGCTTCAATCAGAGGCAGTTTTGCTGTGAAACTAATGAATTTTAAGGTTAGGGTCCCTAACTTTGCAGAGGTCCCTTTCCAAGGCTCTGAGAGGGATTTTAGCAATGTGTTCATTTAGTTATCTTTACATACAGAAATATAAATATATCCAGTATATTAGCTTGGTCAATTTACATGAAGTCAACAAACCTGTGTAATCACCATTGAGATCAAGGATAGAATATTACCAACATTCCAGAAGGCCCCCTCATGTCCTTTTCCAGTAACTATTTCCCCTCAAGGTAACTACTATTATAACTTCTACCACTGTAGATTACTCTTACCTGCTACTTTGCCTGTTTTACATAAATGTAATAATAGAGTAGGTATTCTATGTTGCTGCATGCAATAATAATTTGCTTAATCTTCTTGCTATATAGAACTCCATTGTATGAAAAATATATTTATTTTCTTTTTCTCTTCTCTGGGGAGAATTGTACAATATTGGTGTTATTTATTTCTTAAGTGTTTGGAAGAATTCACTGATGAATCCATTTTGGCCTGGAAATTTATTTGTGGGATTGTTTTTAATTATAGTTTCTTTAAAAAAATAAAAGACTGTCTCATGGAAAGAATCACATGTTCATGGATTGGAAAACTTAATATTGTTAAAATATCCATACTACCCAAAGCAGTCTACAAATTCAATGCAATCTCTATCAAAATCCCAATGGTATTTTTCAAAGAAACAGAAAAACAATCTTAAAATTCATATGGAACCACAAAGGACCCTGAATAGCCAAAACAATCTTGATAAAGAAGAATAAAGCTAGAAAGAATGGTATCATCATAATGGCAGAATAAGAGTTTTCTGTTGTCTTCCTCCCCAAAGTACACTGATTCTGACAATCGCCCATGGACAAGAGTGCCTTTGTGGAAGTTCACAAGTCCAGTGGAGAATTCTAGCACACCCCTGAAGAAAAAATAAATATATAAAATAAAAATCTGAGATGGGGTATTTTTTGTTAGGTCTAGAGTTCTAGATTGGATGTTATTTTGCTTTTAGCACTTTGAAGAGAGCTTTCCACTCTCTTTTGAATCTCATTGTTTCTATTGCAAAGCCATCTTTTTAAAAAAGCATTTATTTATTTATTTAAGGGGGGCTGCTGAGGGAGAGGGAGGAGAGAATCTTAAGCAAATCTATTCTCTGAACGGAATCAGACATGGAGCTTGATCTCACAATCCTGAGATCGTGACCTGAGGTAAAATCAAGAGTCAGACACTTAACTGACTGAGCCACCCAGGTACCCCTTGAAAAGCCATCTTAAAGTCTTATTTGCATTTTCAGTTTTTCTCTTTGGTTTTCAATAATTTCCACTGTAATATGTTAAGCTGTGAGTTTTTCAATATTTATTCTGCTTTAGGGTATTAGAACTTCCTGAATGTATGATTCCATGTCATCCATCAGTTTTAGAAAAATTCTCAGCCATTTTCTTAGCAAATATGTCTGATACCTCAGTCTCCTCTTTTTGTTCTGGGACTTTAAGTACACATGTCCCTTGTGTCTTATTTTGCTTTTTTTATTTTTTATTCCTTGTCTTCTCTCTGATCCTTTAGACTGAATATTTTTTATTTGATCTGTTTTCTAGTTCACTTATCTAATTTTCTGCTCTGTTTTTTTTTTTTCTGCTCTATTTTATCTCCAGCTAAATCCATCCAATGAATTCTTTCTCTTTATTCATTTCTTTTTTATTTAGAAAGATTTCTCCCTCTTCACCTTAAGAAAAAGTCCATTTTTGTGGTGTTTCTTTGCCCTTGTGCTCCTTCTATTTTAGGCTTAATTTCTAAAATATTTTTTTATTTTTAATTCTTTCTGTCACTTTCTGTCACCTCATTTCTCAGTTTTTCTAATTCTGATTTATGTTCTTAAATGTCATAAAAATTTTCTCAATGTCTTTTAGCTCATTCGACAGTACATTTCTACTTTTTAAAAAATATTTTATTTATTCATTTGAGACACAGAGATACAGAGAGAGAGAGAGCATGAGCAGGGGGAGAGGCAGAGGAACAGGGAGAAGCAGCCTCCCCGCTAAGCCAGGAGCCCAGTGTGGGGCTCGATCCCAGGACCCTGGGATCATGACCGGAGCCAAAGGCAGACGCTTAACCATCTAAGTCACCCAGGCACCCCCATTTCTATTTTTTTGTCTGTTTTTTGGATTTCTTTCTGCTGTACTTTATGGGAATATTATTTTGCTGTCTATTCATTTTTCTTCTTTCTTTTTTTTTTTTTTTTTTAAGATTTATCCATTTATTTGAGAGAGAGAGTGCACACAGGGAGAGGGGCAGAGGGAAATGGAGAGAGAGAATGTCAAGCAGACTCCCGGCTGAGCAGGGAGCCTGATGCAAGGCTCCATCCCAGGACCCAGAGATCATGACCTAAGCTGAAATCAAGAGTCAGATGCTTTTGGGTGCCTGGATGGCTCAGTCGTTAAGCATCTGCCTTTGGCTCAGGTCATGAGCCACTTCTCCCTCTCCCACTCCCCCTGCTTGTGTTCCTGCTCTCGCTATCTCTCTGTCAAATAAATAAATAAAATCTTTAAAAAAACAAAAGAGTCAGACGCTTAACCAACTGAGCCACCCAGGCCCCCCCTGATAACTTTTCTAATAATGTCACAGAACTATGTTGTTTTTGTGTAGTGTTAAAAATATATAGTGGCTGGATTTCTGAAATTTCTTGGCTGTATTTCCCTTCCCGGATATTTTTTTGTATCTTCTCTTCCCTTAATGTCTGTGATCCCTGGCCTTCTCAATTTTTATTCCACTCCTAGTAGTTTCTCTTTAGTGTGAAGACTTGTCCTAAAAATTCTGAGGGAGTAGGTTCCTCTAAGCCCCTTTAGTCCTCTCCAAAAGCCCTTGCACTCCCCACAGTTGGAGTAGACAAAACCTCTTCCAGTTTTAGCTGCTGTTTTTGAGTTGGCATGCTGCACTTTCTGGTGAGCAACTAACTGTTGTCTCTTTGGGGTTCTCCTGCTGTCAGGACCTTCAGATGCTTCACTGCTTCTCTGATTTCTTCCAAACAATCACCAACACTATGCAAGCTTTCTACTGTTGGTGGTTTGTCTCCATCCACTTGTATTTTGGGTTTCACGAGGGATTCTTGGAGATGTAGTTTTGTTATGGATCTTGTCCATGGATTTTTGGCTTTGCTATCTAGTTGCTCTGCATGCTTTAATGGTAGAGATTTGGGACTATCTAAAACTATAGTGCCACCATATTCCCAGAATCACCTGTCTAATGAATTCTTAATTTAAAATGTTGATTTGACATTTGATTCTTATGTATATATTCCAGTTTCCTCCTAGAATATGCCATGTTTTCATGTATTTTCTCTTTTACTCTGTTTTTTAAAATACATTAATGATAGCCACTTTAAAGTCCATATCTAGTAACTACAATATCTGGGTTCCTGAGAGTCTGTTTTTATTTTTTTTTTTCTCTTCATTTTGCTCGTTTAGACTTGTCTTTTATTATGGTCGATGACCATTGTGTTGCAAATATTACATATGAAAAGTTATAAAAGCTCTAAAGATACTTTCTTTCAGAAAGGTTCTGTCCTTTGCTTTGTTAGGCATATTGAGTGGGGATAATCATTTTAATCCAATTAGGGACTTAACTGATTTCAGCTGGGTTGCTGTTCTCTCAAGGCTCTGTCTGTATGTTTTCTGTTTTCCTAATCTCTTTCCTGCTTGACTGCAGAGTAGGGTCTTTCTTTCTTTCTTTCTTTCTTTCTTTCTTTCTTTCTTTTCGTCAATTGCTAACACATATCCAAATGCTTAGCATATAGTAGAGACTCAATGAGTGCTTATATTATTTGTAATGCGACTTTTATGGTCCTAGTATACATTAGAAGAGAAAGACCTCAGTTGACTGGCATAATCTTAGAAAAGATTATTTTTTGCATGGTGCCTGTCATACCATGAGAAACTGGCATGTCTCTGCCCCATCCTAATTTATAATATAACACATTCACTGACATTTTGTAAGTGAGCCCCCCCTCCCCAATACACATACACACCCAACATTGCAGTATCTTTCTGTTTTCTCCAGTTTGGTTACTAAAAACACCCATCTCCATTAAAAATAAAAATAAAAGAATGAAAGAGGGAGGAGAGAAAATCCCTAGTATTTATCTTATCTTGTTCTTTGCTATTATGTGGCATAACTTTTATACCTTATGGTGACAATATGTTTCATCTAAATTTTGCTGAAGATAAAGCACAGATATTCTAACAAAATTATATAATTGAGACCATTCTTAGGGAGAGAGATCCTTGAAACAATGGCAGTTTGTTGAATGAATGAATAAATGCACGCATGCATGCGTGAATGAATGAACAATCGTGAATGAATGATAACAAATAAATGCAAAATATACAATTTTTGGAGAAATATTAACCACCATCCAGATTGACTTTTGTAACCACCAGAATCCCAAACTAGAAACCACTGGGCTGAACAAGTACCTTTTTCCTTAAGTGCATCTGTTCTGGCTTCATCCAAGCATAATTTCAGTATTTCATGGACTTTTAGACTTGGAAATAAATGGAAATGTCACTCACCAAGCATCTAAACTGAGTATTAAAATTCATTCTGTAGCATCCTTAACAGACGATGTTCTGGAATTTGCGTCAGACAAATGCTTCTGCCTGCTTTTCCCTTTTATCTTCTCCACATTTGTTACTCTGTCCAGCTAGCCTTAGAGGCAAGGCTCATTTGGGGTTTCTCACCAGAATAAATGAAATATAAAGGCAACTGAAGCACAGGTAAGAACTGCCCGAGTACCAAAGTCCTCTCTTTGCTGTTGCCTCTGCCACGTTCCTCTGCCCCAGGTCTTATTTGCCTGTGTGTTTTCCCTGACCATTTGACTATGCCCTTTACTCCCTCTTCTAACATTCTCTTATGTGTTTATGTAGATTTTACACTTGTCATCAGCTTGGATGTTTTTGTGCGTTTATCTGGCCTTTGACTTACTATTCCTAGATCTTTGTGCTTTTAGTCTAACTTAGTTCTAGAAGTTCACTTAATCCCCTCACTTAACTGATCAGTGCAGAATCTGCTCAATAAGACAGTCCTCTCTAGCTTAGGAACTTTAATTTTTAAAAGTTTATAATTTGGTTGCTTAATACCAAAACTGTTTATTTCGTTGGTGTTTATGCCTGGTAAATGACCATTTTACTTCCAATTGACTAAATCTTATAAGTGGAATCAAGAGCAGGTTTTCCCCTCTGAGTTGGTCCTTCCATAGAGAATAGAGATTTATAAAGTAAGGATGAAACAAAAACAAATTTTATGACTCTTCTCTTGCCTTCCCTCAAAGCAGTGAGAAAATGGGAAGATTCCTAGCTCAGGAGAGAGTAGGGAGGGAGAAATGCAGGCATCACACTGTGACCTGCCGTCCTTGAGGATCTGCCATGCCAGGCAGAGGTGGGACAGCAGTTTTTCAGTGTGACAGCAGTTGTAATAGCAATGGCACAGACAGGAAATCATGTTCTGTTACACAGACTGGTCCAGAGAGAGGGCTTGTGCTCTCTTTTTCAGGGGGATGCAGTCATGGATCTTACTGGGAGTAGCTAGGCATTCACAAACTAGACTGTACATGCTAAGTAACCCAGTAGCGCTCTCAAATTATATCGCTGAAAACAAGTCACATACATATTCAAACAAATGTGCTTAAATTCAGAATAGGGTACTAAAACATAATTGAATCATTTTGTATATAATTTAAGGCCCACAGACTTCAACTAATTTAGGGGCAATCTGTCAATTGCTAACACATATCCAAATGCTTAGCATATAGTAGACACTCAATGAGTGCTTATATTATTTATATTTTTTGTATTGTAAGTGGAGACAGTCTCATGTATAAAGAAAGATGGTCTCCTTAGCACTTGCTTGGAGGGTCCGAGCCCCTCCAGGGAATTTTCCAGGGGATTACCAGTATATTCACATAGGAACAGCGTTTTAGTAAGGGTTTGCCACTTAACACTGGCCCATAGATGACTGTTAGACCATAAGGTAGTTGGAACTATTGACCCAACAGATCTAAACACCATTTGTCATAGTGTTGCTATAGGAAATCGTTGCAGGGCTTATAACTTGAAAGTCTAAACTCTACCAGCACACAACAGTAAAGTATCTGATAATAATTCATAGCAAGATGATTAAAGTGGATGTAATATAAATATATTTTATGAAATCAAGGGCCATAATCAATTTCAAGGAAGAAGGATCAAATTATTGTTTATTGCTTTCTATATCCCTTAATTTTCTTTCTTTCTTTTTCTTATTAACATATAATGTATTATTTGTTTCAGGGGTACAGGTCTGTGATCCATCAGTCTTACACAATTCACAGCACTCACCATATCCCTTAATTTTCTTACAATTAATGTGTTACTTTTACAAGGAAATTTATAATTTCAAAAGAAAGAATCAACATTGTGCACATATTTTTCTTTAAAAGGCAGTGAAACCTGATCTGGAAAGCTCTATTAGGAACAAAATGGAAGGTCAAAGGGAAATGTACCAATTAGATCTCAACATTGTGGGTTTCCAGTTCAGCCATCATCCTCTCTTCAATCAAGAACAAGTATTATGTGCTAGGCTGCTTCAACTTTATGAGTGTTTCCAGGACAGACAGCAACAGAATTTATCTCAGCTGCTTTATGAGAAGGTGAGAATGGCTTTCATTATATTTATAGAGCCAAATATTTAATATCGAAAGGGAAAACAAATAATACAGAGCAAGCTATCCTAGAACATATTCCCTTAGCATTTTAAATATTTAACCAATTAGAACAATAGTTGCTTTCAGTTTTTCTAAAAAGAAACTCTGGGTGTTGACTGGCCAGGGAGGTAGCCTCAAACATATCCTGCAGGATATTTAGTACTTACAAATGGTTCACTAATCAGTGGTATTCTTGGTCCTATGATTCAAGAAGGGTATTTGAAAAGATTAAAAGAGCCATATGGTTGTTTTAAGTCTTCTAATAAAGTATTTTTGGTAAAAATATTAGAGATCTTGATGGGGCGCCTGGGTGGCTCAGTCGTTAAGCGTCTGCCTTCGGCTTGGGTCATGATCTCAGGGTCCTGGGATCAAGCCCTGCATCGGGTTCCCTGCTCCACGGGAAGCCTGCTTCTCCCTCTCCCACTCCCCCTGTTCCCTCTCTCCCTGTGTCTCTCTCTGTCAAATAAATAAATAAAATCTTAAAAAAAAAAAATATTAGAGATCTTGAATCTCATATAAAATGTGAAAAGTCTTGGTCTGAGAATGATTAACCCAGTCATCCAATGACAGCATAAAGGGTACATAAAAGTTTGGAAAAAGAAAAAAGAAAAAAAGAAATCAAATGAGTGCCCACCGATTATTTTTATGAATTCGTACCTCTCATTTACTTGCTTTTTTAGTTTCATTTTTTGTGTCTATTGGCAAACATTAAAATTTTTCTGAGATCAAATCTTTCAGTCTTTTCCCTTGTGTATATTAGGTTTTGTCATTTGCTTCCTAAGACCTTCTCCACCCCAAGTGTATCAGTCAGCATGCCTTTGGTTGCAATTCACAGAAAACGCTCTCTCAATTGCTTTAAACAATAAGGAAAACATATTACCTCCTACATCACAAGTCCCAAGTTAGGGCAGCTTTAGGGTTGGCCGATTTGGTGGCTCAACAATATCATCAACAACCCTAGCTTTTTTCCTCTCTTTCCAATGTTCATCTTCAGCAAATTGACTTGGTTAGCTCCTGTCAGGTAAACTACTGGCTGTTCCAGTTCAAGGCATGCTGACCAGACACACAGTATGCATAGTATCTCGCTTTGAGAACCCTCTTCAGCCTTTCCCCCACGTATGGGCAATTTCCCCTCTTGTCTCTTTGGCTAGAACTATATCACATGATAATGCCTAAACCAGCACTAGCAAAAAGAATGAAATTGCTACAAATGGCTAATCAGGGTTTACCTCTGAAACACGTGGAAGATGATTAAGCAATTGAACAAAATTGGGATTCTGCAAGCAAAAAAAAAATGACTTTTCAAGGGCAACCAATAGTGTCTAAGAGACCAAAATTATAGTTATCTTCTTATATATTCTTCTAATAATATACATGTGTGTGTATGTATAATTTTAGGCTTTTATTCGGTCTAGAGTTTATATTTGTGTCTTGTGGATTGGGCTCCAATTCAGTTTCTTTCCCCCAAAAGGTTAGCCTAATATCCAAACATCATAATTTCCTACTAATTTAAGATTCTGCCTTTATTATAAACTGGCTTCACATATTTACATAGATTAAGGACTATTTATTCCATTGACGTATGGCCTAGTCCTGCCCTGTTTTAATTACTATACTATTAAATTATAATGTAGTAGAACAAAGGACTCCTCATTTTTTATAGAATGTTTTTGTATGCTCTTAAAGATTTGATCGTCCATATGAACTTTAGAATTAGCCTGTCAACTTCTATTTTTAAAATTCTATTACCATATTTATTGTGATTACATTATATTATTATATTAATTTTGAAGGAAATTTTATCTTTATGAAAATTGTGTTCCCTCATTCAGAACTATAGTTTGTCTTCCTATTTGTTGAGGTCTTCTCTGATTTCTTCCAGTAAAAGTTTATATTAATTGACTCTAGTCTTGGAGTTCCTACAAACTGTTCCTAACTATGACAGATTTCTCCTACATATGTTTTAGGGTACAGGTTCCTCCAGTTTTATTTCTCTATGGACATTCTCTGAGGATATTTCTATCTTATGCTTTCCTCAGCATATCGTTTTCTCTTGATTTTATTTTTTCTTATTTTCCTATGTTATGCATTCATTTTTATAGACAGATATAGATATAAACACAGTTATAAATATACATGTATAGATATGGATGTAATGTTGGCAGTGGATATGGATAAAGACAGATAAACAGCTATTTTTTCTGTAACCATGGGATTTTAGGTGAAAGATAAGGTAGATTCCTGGGCTCAATCTGCCGTCTTGATTGACTGGCATTTTTTACATTAATTGAGGAGCTGATTACCTAGAAAGTTCTAGGTATAATGTTTATTTCTTAGATATTGAGGCTCTTCTCAGTTCTACCCCAAGGTGCTTATATGAAATATATTTTGGAAGATAAGACAGTAATACACAAAAAGTTATACAGTTGTGCTTCTGCTGCACACACCTAGACCTTTGGAGAAATTGGAGTGCTAGTAACAGTGAATGGAATATACGAAAAGCTCTTTTCTTTGTTGTAGCTGAAAGCACTGACAGATGCTACCAAATTAGCAAACGAAAATTTGGAAATAAGCCAACTGACCAAAAAATCTTTACAAGATTATTATTGGCAGATAAGGTAGGTTTGGGACCATTAATGTATTTATCAAGCATTTATCAAGTAACTTCTTTAAACTGAGTATTGCACTTGCTATGGAGGATATAAAATAAGAAAAAGAGAAGGTCCCTACTCTTTAGGCAATTACAGAAATGGCTCCAACCTTTCCTTTAGACCCCGTTTTGTGTAAAAATATTTCATAGAAGTGTCACATGAAAGTAGTTGTAATTTTAATATCAATTGATTAAAAAAACCACATGTTGGGGCGCCTGGGTGGCTCAGTTGTTAAGCATCTGCCTTTGGCTCAGGTCATGATCCCAGGGTCCTGGGATCGAGCCCCACATCGGGCTCTCTGCTCAGCAGGAAGCCTGCTTCTCCCTCTCCCACTCCCCCTGCTTGTGTTCCTGCTCTCGCTGTGTCTCTCTGTCAAATAAATAAATAAAATCTTTGAAAAAAAAAAGAAAAAAGATATGTCTCAAATCAATATAAGAGGAAAATGAGACAAATAGAAATATTCAAACAAAAGGAAAGCAAGAAAAGAGAGAAAAAGGAACATAGAAGCAGATGAGACAAATAAAAAACATAAAAGAAAATGGAGTTAAACCTAAATATATCTAAATGGGCTGAGTGCTCCATTTTTGTCTAGATTGATAGACTGGATTAAAATTTTAAAAAATCCATATGGAAGCAACCTAAGTGTCCATCATTAGATGAGTGAATAAATAAGATGTGGTATATATACAGAGTGGAATATTACTCAGCCATAAAAAAGAATGAGATTTTGCCATTTGTGACAACATGGATGGACGTAGAGGGTATTATGCTAAGTGAAGTAAGTCTAATGGAGAAACACAAATACCATGACTTCACTTATATGTGGACTCTAAAAACAAAACAAATAAATGGAGCGCCTGAGTGGCTCAGTCGTTAAGCATCTGCCTTCAGCTCAGGTCATGATCCCAGGGTCCTGGGATTGAGCCCTGCATCGGGCTCTCTGCTCAGCGGGAAGCCTGCTTCTCCCTCTCCCACTCCCCCTGCTTGTGTTCCCTCTCTCACTATCTCTCTGTCAAATAAATAAATAAAATCTTTAAAATATATATATTTTATGGTTGAACAAAATATGATTGAACAAAAAATATTTTATGAATGAACAAAAAGCAGAAAGAGACCCATAAATCTAGACAATAAACTGGTGGTTGCCAGAGGGGAGGGGGGTGGGGAGTTGAGGAAAATGGGTGAAGGGGAGTGGGAGTTCTAGGCATCTAGTTATGGAATGAATAAGTCATGGGGGTAAAGGGTGAAGCATGGGGAATATAGTCCATGGTATTGTACTAGTGTTGTATGGTGACAGCTATACTTGGGGTAAGCATAGTATAACTTCTAGAATTGTAGAATCATTATGTTGTACACCTGAAACTAATGTAACATTGTGTGCTAACTATACTTCAATAAAAAATTTTTTAAAAGGAGGAAAAAAATCCCAAACCAAAATCCAATTATATGTTATCTATAAGAGACTTATCTAGATCATAAGGATATAAAAAGTTAGAGAATAGAAATAATGGGAAAAAAAAATCACACAAACATTGACAAAATAAAGATGGCATAGCTATATCAATATAAGGTAAAATAGATCTTTAAAGGCAAAAAGCTTTACTAGATATAAAGAGGGCCACATCAAAATGATGCAGTTTAATTAACATGAATTCATATATATGAATATACACATATATACACATATGCATACAATAAAATGGCTTCAAAATAAATAAAGCAGGTGCCTGGGTGGCTCAGATGGTTAAGTGTCTGCCTTCAGCTCGGGTCATGATCCCAGGGTCCTGGGATCGAGTCCCGCATCAGGCTCCCTGCTCAGCTGGGAGCCTGCTTCTCCCTCTGCCTCTCTCTCTCTGTCTCTTATGAATAAATAAATAAATAAATAAATAAAGCAAAACTGATAGAAGTGCAAGGAGAAATAACAAATTCATAAACATACTGGGCAATATTTACACACTCCTCTCAGTAAATGATGGGACAAGTAGACCAAAAAAATTCAGTATGTATATAAAAGATTTGAACAACATGATGAATAAACTTGACTTAATATATAGTTAGAGAACGTTGTACCCGACAACTGCAAAATGCTACTCTCTTCAAGAACATGGGGAACATTTACAAAAGTTGATATTCTGTTATTTCAATAAATCTCAAGGTCTCAATATATTCAACAGATTTAAATCATTCAATGCAGAAAGAAATCTAATACAAAAGTATAGCTAGGAAATCTGTATGATTGGAAATTAAGAAATACATGTCTAAATAATCTATTTTTCAGAGAAGATATCATATTGATAATTAGGATTTTTAATTTACTGATTAAAAACTAATATATATGAAAATTTGTGGTACAGTTAAAATAGTACTTAGAGGAAAATTTGTTTATTTAAATACACATGAGAGAAAAAGGAAAGGTTGAAAATTAATGAGCTAAGCATTCTTAAGTTAGGAAAAAGAATAGAAGGAAATAAAGAGCAGAAATTAAGAGAGCTATGATAGAATCAGTAAACTCAAATGTTTGGTAAACATTTGATAAACTTGGCAAAGCTGATCAAGAAAAGAAACAGCATGGGGTGCCTGGGTGGTTCAATTGGTTAAGCGTCTGCCTTCAGCCCAGGTCATGATCCCAGGGATCGAGCCCTACATGGGGCTCCCTGCTTGGTGGGGAGTCTGCTTCTCCCTCTCCCTCTGCCCCTCCCCCTGCTTGTGCTTTCTCTCACTCTCTCTCAAATAAATAAATAAAATCTTTTTTAAAAAAACAAAAGAAAAGAAACAGTACAAATATACAATATACAATATCAGGAAGGAAAGGGGGACATTATTACCCATGCTGTATACTTTGAAAAACTTCATGCCTAAGAATGTGAACATTTACATGGAAAGGACAAATCTGTACAAAAATACAACCAGAATCGGGGTGCACGGGTGGCTCAGTCAGTTGAGCATTGACTCTCTCGATCTCGGCTTAGGTCTTGATCTTAGGGTCAGGAGATAGAGCCCCATGTTGGGCTCTACGCTCAGCGGGGAGTCTGCTTGAGAATTCTCTCTCCCTCTCCCTCTGCTCCTCCCGTTTGTGCTGTCTCTTTCTTGCTCTCTAAAATAAATAAATAAAATCTTAAAAAAAACAAACCATATATCCAACAAGTGAAAGAAGAAGAAGAAGAAGAAGAAGAAGAAGCAGAAGAAGAAAAACCCTAAGTAGTTCAATCATTGTTAAAGAAATCAAATCGGTAATTTGAAATCTTTCTGCAAAGAAAACTTGAGGCTCAGATGACAAAATCAGGATTCGGTAGAACATTTAAAACAGTGATTCTCAAAATGTGGTTCCCCAGATCAGCAGCATCAGCTTCATCTGGAAATCTGTTAAAAATGCAAATTACCAGGTCCACCACAGCCTTACTGAATCTGAAATTCTGGGGGTGGGGCTTGGCAATCTGTGTTCAGCAGGCCCTCTGATGATTCTGATATAGGAAAGTTTGGGAGCCTCTGATTTAAAGATAACTTCTATTTTCACAAATTCAAAGAATATAAAAAAAAAAAGGCCACATTCTTAACTTCATTTCTGAGGTTGTTTTATCCTTGAAATTAAAACTTGATAACAATACAAAAACTGTTGCAACCCAATTTCATTCATAAACATAGTTACAGATATGCTAAACAGAATTCTATCAAATAATACAGTGAAGTTGGGATCATTCCAGGAGTGCAAGGATGATTTAACATTAGAAAGTCAATTAGTGTAATTTGTCATACTAATAGTGTGTTTGTAAAGTCATGAAACAGAATAAGCATCTTTTAAAACAGTATATTACCTCAATATCCAAATAATATGATCACTACCCCATCCAGCAAAGTACCTCTAAATTTGAAGCAATGGTTTCATTCGTTAATCTGAAAAAAATATAATAAATACACTCCAGAATGACCAGATCATCTGGAAAAGTCTGGATTTTAGCAGAGCACTTTTGAATAGTGAAAAATCTTCAAGTCATAAAGGAATTAATTAATGGAATTTCAGTAGCTATACCAAGATGTGGGTAAAATGAAAAAAAAATCATAAGGTGAGGGTATCCAGAAGAGTTAGTTACATTCTCCTAGGCCATTTTTAATGATTTATAGTTCTAACCCACCAATGTATTTTTGATCTACCTTTATTGTTGTAGTAATACAAAACAGCTCTATGACTTAGAAAGGGGAAAAGACTTCTCTCTATTACACAGTATATTACGGACTTGGAAACAAATAAAGTCCCTCCGACAACGGCAAGGGTTTACAAGCACCCCAGTAAAGTTACAGTTTCAAAGGTGAGTGGCTTGTCTATTTGTTCTGATAGGGCTCCTGAGGAACTGCCCACGAATAACTGGGAATTCACAGTCACTGGGAGAAAATCCAGAAGCTAGACAGCTATTTAATGTAGTCAACAAAGGACTTGTACCTTGAATATATGAATAATTCTTAAAACTTAATAAGACAACTCAATTTTTAAAACTGAACAGACACTTCACTGAAGAAGGCATATGGATGGCAAATGCAAACATGAAAAGAAGTTCAGCATCATATCCTGTCAATAAAGAAATGTAAATTAAGGGGCGCCTGGGTGGCTCAGTCGTTAAGCGTCTGCCTTCGGCTCAGGTCATGATCCC